GTCGGGTAGGGGTAGGGTAAGTGGGGTAAGGGTAGGGGTGGGGTCGGGGGTAAGGGTAGTGTAGGTGGGGTAAGGGTAGGGTGGGGGTCAGTTAGGTAGGGTAGGGGGTGTCTGGTAATGGGGTAGGGTAGGGGTAAGGTGGGGTACGTGTAGGGTGGGGTCGGACAGGTAAGGTAGGGGTAGGGTGGGGTTGGGGTAGTGGTAGGGGGTTGGGTAGGTAGGGGTAGGGTCGGGGTAGGTAAGGGTATGGTGGGGGTCGGTTAGGTAGGGTAGGGGTGGGGTCGGGGTGGAGTCAGGGTAGGTGGGGTAAGGGTAGGGTGGGGTCGGGGTAGGGTGGGGTTGGGGTCGAGGTGGGGCAGGGATAACAATAGGTTAAGGGCAAGGGGTAAATTCGGAAACTGAAAAAGCTTAAAGTGCCGCTTAATTAATACATGGGGGGTGGTATGCTTAATAAGCGGCACTTTAAGCACCTCTTTCGGTTAGTAAGCGGCTTTTTAAGCAGTGTGCGTGTTTACTTCACCTGTCTTACTAACCTAACTGTGACATTAGCAGTGAAGTAAACACCTCCTTTAAGTTTGCACAAAGTGTACTTTGTGACTCTTTACTAATAGTTTAAATCTGCTACACTCCAAAAAAAGTATTGGTACATTAAAGTGTAAGAAATGACAAATCAAAGGAAAATTACTTGAACCTAAAAAGGGCAAATTTATTTTATCAAATTATGGGAAGATAAAGAGTCTAAAAAGTACACATCACTAATACTTTTTAAATAACTAATGGCTTGTTTAATATCATGAATCTTATCGTAATAAAAAATTGATTTTTGAATTAGACTTTTTGTCACAAAATGTTTGTAAGTAACGAAGATTCTCTTAATATTTGAATAATATGTCTGAGATTATTTGTTTTTAGAATAGTATTGTGACGCTAATTCATATAGATGGTGCATATTAGACAACGAAAGTAAGTTAGATCGAGTTTATTATTTATGCAATAAATTCTTTATATAAAGTAAGACGTAAATGAGTTGTGTAATTAATGACACACAAATATTTTAGGGTGTATTCACTTCACATTATCTAAAAATGATTGAACTAGTATGTGTGGTATTTAATATCGTTTGATATTTTACAAAACTATGATTTTTTATATAATAAGTATCCAAAGTCTTAATCAATATAATGAGTTGTTCTATAGTTTAAGTAATGATAAACTATTTTAGATTTTTCTCCTTTTAAATCTCCTACTAAGTATGTTATTATGTAAGATTATATCTGTATGTTGAAAACTAAAAATTAAAGGGGGGGCACCACCCTCCCCCCATTTTAGAAGTCCAACATAACGAGGAGAACATTATGTGGCAGCTTGCCCTCCTTTGAAACCTCCTCCATCCCATAAAGAGATTTGTAGAAAAGCTCTATCTAGTACCTCGAATTTAAAGATTTATTTCCGCATTGTATTTTCTTTAGTATGTAGTTCCTTGTTAATTTTAGTTCAAGTAGTTGTGGTTGTTTTACTTTTGGAGTTTTTGGTTGGGACATTGGCATAATTTTCTTTGTGATAGTTCGTTAGAAACATGTGAGTGGTGAATTAGGTGACGGTGATACTCATTTGATTGACATGGGCTTATGCTTGTTCGCTTGATGATCAGTGAGTTAGGGGCTGTTTACCTGGAGCTTAATGAACTTAATGGGGTCAGAACTTAACCATTCAGTTATAAAGGTCCGTTTACTTGCAACTTAACAAAAATTATAACTTATTCGCTCAGTCAAATCTCAACTTATTCGTTCAGCTACAAAACTATACTCCTTCCGATTCAGACACGGGAATGAACAAACCTTCTCTATTTTAACCCTGGATAACCTTTCCCCCTTTGGATGAGTTTCTCATCATCATACGCAACAGAGGCAGCAGAGCACCACCAATCGGTGGTAATCTTATCTCGAAGTAAAAATTATCGAACCCTCCAACATCTGTTATGTATTTGAATTGTTGCATCACCGTTTACTGATCTATGTATTATATTTGCTCTCTCCTGTTCATCAAAATCTGGTATGGTTTTTTTGTCCGTTTTGGTTGCCTTTTTGTTTCAAATTTCCCATGTATTCTTTAATTAATAGGACTTTTTTATGAATTAAACATGATTCCTGCCTTCGGAAAGAATAGATGAAAATTGTAATTGAGATAATTGTTAGCAATAATCTAAACCTCCATGGATATGTGTTTGGTGCTTGCTTGTGAAAGTGTAGTGCGGCTTATATTCACCCATGGAGATCTCCCTGCCTCTCGAATCTCCCTAAATCTTTCACCTTTCTACATAATGTTAGTAGAACCTGAATCACCCAAATCAGTGAATCTCTCCAAATAATAAACCGTGAATGGATTTTTGCAGATTTTTAGTTGTTCTCAAGGAATATTTGGTCATTTGAAATGATTCAGATTCTCATTCAGTACACTTGGTAAACAATCTGTTATCTCAGTGTCACTTAATTCAGACAGACAACTTAATACAGACAGACGTCTTAATCTATTCAGGACTTAATGGAAAAAAAAGTAAACAACCCCTTAGTATGTTTTTTTAAGGATGTCCAAGGATGTTTTCTTTTGGACTGAAATTTGCTGGTCTGGTCTGGTCTGTTTAAGTTTGGTCTGGTCTGGTAAACGTCTGGTCTCTGTGTATTTTATAACTATGGAAGTCTGATCTGGTCTGATCTGTTTGAGTCTGGTCTGGTCTGGTTTGTTTAAGTCTGGTCTGAATATGTATCCCTATTTTTCAGGATTTTAATATAAGTCGTTTATTATAAAATAAAATAAAAGACTTTATGTATAGCACAAACCATAAAATACTATGTTATATTTATTCAAATAAAACTATTCTTTAGAAATATTGCTCCTTTAAAAATTGTTACAATAGACTTTGACACATTATTTAAGAAGGAAAGTGGTGGGGAAATAAATAGTGTAAAAAATAAAAGATAGGGGTGAACATGATCCGAGTCGATCCGGGTATTTGATAAAATTTTAAGAAGCGCTAATTCTATTTACAACCGGGTAGCTAGATTCAATCCAGGTAAATCTCAAAGTAGGAACCGAACCGTACTCGCCCTGATCGGAATGGGTCAGTTCGGTCCGGGTTATTGATTTTTTTTGTAAAACATCGGCTACGATAACAAAGTATAGTACGTAATAACATTTGTATTGTTTTAAACTTTATTAAAAACAATATTTTAAAACGGGTCGGTCCAGGTGCTTGTTTTTTCAAATTTTAAGACCCGTTCCGCAACATTTGAGCTTTCTAAAATTAGGATCCGACCGTAACCCGCCCCGAACAAGTATTACCTGTTTCGACCTGTGGTACTTGTACCCATTTGCTCACCCCTGGGAGAGGAGGTGTAAAAGTATAAAAGAGAAAATATAGAATAGAAGAATAGGGGTAATTGAGTGTTGTTAAGCAAAAAACTTACCAAAAGAGTAACATCAATGAATTATGTGTTGGTTGAACTGAAATCGTTAAGTCGGCATATGTCATTGTTTTATACTTGGTTAATAGTAGGGGTTTTTAATTAACGGTCTCGTTATTAATTGTTGGGTCGCGGTTATGCGGTCAGCAGTCTGTCATCATGTCGGTGTAATCGAAATGTGGCACTTTACCTATTCTATAAAAGGGCAGCGTGTTATACTATCAGCAATTGTTTTTAACGTAAGGATAAGCGCAACGATCCACATTAAAAAGTGTTTAAATTGATTCTGTTTCTGCTTCTTTTAAAATCAGAAGTGGAATCGAAATCAGTTTTCGGAAGCTGACTTCCATTATTAGCTTATAAAAAAACGCTTCTATGAGCATTTTGGAGCAACCACAAGTACATCTCTACTTTTGCTTGAACACTTCCATATATGTTTATGTTTCTTGAAAGAGTAGAAGCGGTTTTAAGAAGCTAATCCAAACATCTTCTAACTAGTATTGATGAATTGGAATAATTCCATGATTGGGTACTCGAGAGGGAATAGCTATAGATATAACATGAAGCAACAAACATTTCAGTGGGTTGAAAGTAATAAAACCAAGTATTTATTTCATTGATATTAAATCAAATATCCTCAATTTCAAACAAACTTCTACCCCTTTTAGTACACATTCATACAAAAAGAGTTAACTTTCCCTACAGATACGAACCTTACTCTGCTATACTACAAAAAGAGTTAACTTTCATGATGCCAAAATTTTCATTGAATCTGCCATTATTATGGCATTACTAAAAATGTAGGCAGATTTACTTCAGTGATTGGAGCTGGTGATGGGCGTGGCAAAGTCGGTAGTGTTTTTTAACATTTTAAATTTTTTAATTTTATTTAATTTTTTTTAAATAATTTATTAATTTTATTTATTTGTTTACTAATTTTATACGTAGTAATTTTTTATGATTTTATTATGAATAAACATTTTAGTTATTTGTCCAAACACACATAAAAGTCTCACCAAAACAATTTAGTTGATTCACTCTCAAATTGAAAGCGTCGTATATTCTTTCAAAGAAAGAAATTGAATATGTAAAGATGGGTGGACATGATAGCTTCCGTGCGCGCAAATGGCATCCACCATGAGCGAGAGGAGCAAAGCATGCGCATCACATGATCTGACGTAGAAATCCATTACAGAAGATATTTTGTAATCAACAATTTTGATCTATTGTACCATTATTTCTTCCATTTATGTTTTTATTAACAACTAGTAAACTCACCCGTGCGATGCACGGTTTAAGAATTTTTCTTTCAAATTTATGTGTGCTTAGTGATTCAAATCAGACTATCAATTGATGACAGCATCTATTTTCATGTAATATTGATATACATCAAAGCATTAAATGAAACACACCTATAATATTATGGTCAAAATGAGAGTACTAACCATTACTTAAGAGTTCAAAATCATCCAACAAATACATTGAAACTATAACATTGTAAATATGCATTTAATGTAAACCTAAACATTGTCGAACACTTCTTTGAATACAACATTCGGAGTCTTGTCACTGGTTCCTTCATCTTCATCAACAATTAGAATTTTCAAATCACAATGATTAGTAACCCTTGATACTGCAACATACAACTATCCTTGGGTAAATACCGTTTTTTTCAACAACAACCCAACACAGGACAAATATGGACCTTGACTATTATTTATAGTCATAGCGTATGAAGTCATAACAGGATATTGTCGCCTATGAAATTTGAAAGGCAAGCTGGCATCGGATGACGTCAAGGACCATCTATGAATTAATACTTTTTGTCCAGCACTCACACTAGTTAAAATTTTCTCCTCAAAAACATGTTCACTGAGCATCGTTAGGATAAGACGTGTCCCGTTACACAACCCCATTGAATGATCGATATTTCACAAAAGTATCAGGGGTCCCTACCTACCTTTAACATTAACCCATTATTCAGTATACCATATAATTTTATACTATTCGAGAACTCAGGTGTGTGCAGTTTCGCCATTAGATCGGTTGTAGAATCTACCTTTAATTAGAAACACTGTCAGAACTAAAATATGTTCTTGAAACTTCACCAACATTAAGAGTTGTCATATAGTCATTAACAGCTTCAACCACAGCCAGTGTTGGTGTCAAGGCTGTACGGTCGCACAAACAACTCATATCACCTATAGATTCAACATATTCCGGAAATATGCTTTCAACATTCGCAACTATAGGATCTCCATCTCTGCATATCAATAAATCTTCAAAAATAGTAATACGAACATGACCATCATTACTTTCACTCGCAACACTGTCACCAATGTTGGCAATCCAATATAATGGATTAGTCGTGTTCTGCTGGCGCATATTTTTTTGTCAAACGAAGGACTGTGCATTCAGACCACAGATATGATGAATTAACCGTCCCATCGACTACATCATGTCTACTCCCATTAGGTATCACCGGCAACACCTGCCGAAAATCAAAGGTTTATATAAATTAAGTTAAAGTAAATTATTTATAATGACTAAGTAATAAGGTGACTATAAATTTACACAAATTGCATTTTTTAGATTCATTGTCTCTCTAAATAGGTAAAATAAGAGAGTAAAATATGTGAAGTGTGTTATGTCATTCTGGAATTATACTTAGCTTGAATCTAAATTTGTGGGAAAATGTTCAAATAGGTGCTTCTACTATTTCTGATATTCAAGTATGGTCTGGTCTGGTTTGTTTAAGTTTGGTTTAATTTGAGACTGAAATAAGTCTAAGTATAAATATATCAAGTAATATGGTGACTATGCATTTATATGAATTACATTTTTTATACGAATTGCCCGGGTAAATTGGCAAATCAGGGGGGGTGCAAATATGTGAAAGTGTGTTATGACATTATCAAACAATACTCAAATATGACAATTCTTCAATTGGGCCTTAATCGGCTCTAATCGATCCTAGACCGAACCCGAGCTAACGAAAGCGGACGCGAACTAAATGTAAAGGAATTTTTGTCGATCTCTGATTTTCAAAAGCGATCTTTTGAATAATTTTTGATATCATCGAAAAAGCAATAGAGACCGGGCATGCCCCACCATTAACGCCATCATTCAAAAACTCGACCAATAATGAGATTATGTGAAATGTATTACTGATTGAGGTAAATTGCAATCACGAGTGTACAAATCTAATAAATTCTACCTATTTTAAAATGCAATTTAAAATTTTGTACGGAGTAGTTGACAAAAATGTATCTTTCAAATATTTCAAACACCTTCTCTCTCGCACCAACCCCTCTTAAAAACCTTCCTTCTAGTATAAACATCTCAAGTAATATAGTGACTATACATTTATAGGACTTGCACCAAGAGCGCATGAATTGATAAAATATATTACCTTTGTCCCAAAATACTTTTTCATCTCATAAAATTTGGTCCATGATTTTTTTAATCCTAACTTGATCCATGATTGTGATTAGTATAATATTTGGTCCATTCTTAAACTATAGTTGAAAATATCTTTATGGGAAAAATGTCCCAATATGCCCTTTTACTATTTCAAACATGGTACCTATATGAAAAATAGTAATGGTATTATTTAAGCATAATTACTTTCATAATATATTCATTATAATCACCTTGATTTGGTATAAGTGTTTTTTTGGAATATATTTTTAAAAAGTTAATAGAATTGAAAGTGTTTTTTTTTAAAACACAAAAGTTTTGAAAATATATAAATCGAAGTATAAAAAATAATAAAAATGCCAAAATGGATAAATACTAAAAAAAAATATTCATAAAAAACGTGCACTATATAAAACTACATTGTATATTTTTTTTAAAAATACTTCGTCCGTCCCGCCATGATTGTCCCAATTTACCTTTTCGGTCTGTCCCACTAAGATTGACTCTTCCCAAATTTGGTAAAGTTGTGTGGTTCTAAATCATTCTTACTTTATTCTTACTTTATCAATTCAATATTAATCACATAAATCATTTTTTATTAATTTGTGCATCACTCTCTCTTGTCCTATTGTTAGAGGACGAAGGGAGTAGAATATACATTAGCAATGAACAATTGCTCACCCAAAGTATAACACTAAATCATTAGTTTTTATTTAAAACAAATTAAATTATACTACGGGTACATTTTACCATTGCTATTTTCTCCAAAAGCAACATTTTCAAGACGGCGTAATCCAAGTGAATCAAAAGCGAGCATTGTGGAAGAACCTAGCATTTGATCCTGAACTTCCATCACAATACATGTGTTATTATCACTTTCGTCACTGACCATTGAAGGATTTTAGGAAATGAAAAAAAAGAAAGAACAAAGTTAATACTCGGTACAATTCTAAAATATTAATAGCACTTGTAAAATCTTTGTTTAATATTTTTTTTTGGTGACGAAAATGATCAAACTTTGCAATTTCTAATCAACAATCTATGAAATTATCAAGATCTGTCAAACTTATTTAAGTTTGAAAATAATGGCACATTTTGAAACATTAAAAATACACCACTCTTAGATGTAGTAGTGACCAAAATGAAATACGGAGTAATGTTTAATTGGGGACAAATCCAGGCCACGAAAAAGTTGATAGCATGTAACGGGCCACTCCCTGTAACCCCAATTCAGCCTACTCTAAGATGCGGCCCATTTGTCCATTTCAGCCTTGTAGCTTTCCGAAATACAACTCAAGATAGCAGCCATTCTCCTAAAATACTCCAGCCCTAAATAAAATACTCAAACCTCAAGCGTAAAAACACCAGATCATTCGAAGGTATACGTTCTGGATCTTGTTCCAATTTTGTATGGTCCTCCAATCTCTACCCCAAAATTATCCTAAACTAAACCGTCACGCAGCCATCGACGAATAATCCGGCTGAAAACCGCATTAGTCTGGCCGCCAGTGTTCATAGACATCGACAAAATAACTTGCAATCGCGTGAACAACGCTCGAAGCGACAACTGTAAGTAAATTGGTACTCCGCTACAAATCTGTGGTTCCTTCGATACTTTTTTTAAATGTCTGGTACAATACTCCGCTACGGCCAACATAAATTCAAGCATTGGATGTTTTTAATTTTTTCAATTAAATAAAAAACTAATTATCCTAAAATATACGTAGTATATTTTTCAAATTGTGTTTCTGTAAACAGATTTTTGGTCATGCATTAAATTACGTTGTTTACTATAAACAGTTGAAAATTAAATTAACACATACTTCGTAATATAGAGTATAGAGTGAATTCCCTAAATAGGACTAAAAAGTGGAAAAATTGCACAAATAGGACTACATTTTTTAAATTCCCTTAATAAGACTATTTATGTGTGTTTGGACAAATATACCCTTGTAACTTGTGAAATGTTTTTATTAATAATAAAATCATAAAAAAATTAATAAAAATTGAAAAAAATACTAAAAATCGTAAAAAAAATAATAGAAAATTAATAAAAATATTTTTTAAAAAAAATAAAAAAAATATTTTTTTTTAAAAAAATAAAAAATAAATAAAAAATCATAAAATTAAAAAAAACACATTACCACCCCTGCCACCCCCAACACCACCATCTCCCATCACCGGACAAAAATATGCCAACATTTTAAATAATGCCATAATGATGGCATAATCAATGAAAATGTTGGCATATTGAAGAGTAATTATGCCATCTTTTTGGCATTTTCAGAAAAAATATGGCATTTTTTTACCAAAAGTGGAAGAAATTTCACCAATCGGAGGTGGTGCTGGGAGGCGGCGGGAGGCGGTGAGAAAGGTATCCATAATTTTTTTCATTTTTTATGGGTTTTTACTATTTTTATTATTTTTTTAAAAAAATTAAAAAAAATAAAAAATTAAATTTTTTATTTTATAAATGTTTTATAATTTTTTTTTAATTTTTTTACGTTTTTTAAATATTTTTTTACGTTTTTTGTGATTTTATTATGAATTAAAGCATTTCATTATGAATTAATACTCTTAGGGGTATTTAGGGTAGAAAATCAATGTTTAGTCCTATTTAGGGAATTTTAAAAATAGTTGTCCTATTTGTGCTTTTTAGGAACTTTTTAGTCCTATTTAGGACAATTTCCGTAGAGTATATTATAGTGATGTTTTTAGACATAACATCGTATGTATTGATCTAAACACCACTAAAATTTAACCGATTGTAAACAATATTAATAGTTAATTACTCGTATAATGATTTAGGGTTGATAAATATTACAGTATATGCATTCTAATCTGATTTGATATTTGAATATATGCTACTCCGTATATATTTATGTTTCCATCTAAGATTGTTTAATTTTTAATAGATTTATGGCTATATCTTCTAAAATGTGGAATGTTTCCCATTTTTAATAACTAAATCCCCTTTCACTACATCAAATCATTATTGTAATATGGTCATAAATTATAGACACTTGATTATAATCGTGTTAGTTATTCATAGTACATTTTTTATACGATAGTATGTGAATGTATATCCTTCCTATTATTAATATTTTGTGTGTGTTGATGAGTATACCTGAATTTGGCCCTTGGACCCTAATGCACTTGAATTAGTAAGCTTAGGAATGACTACTCTCGTGAACTGATCCTCCTTCACCTAAAAACAGTCTTATTAGTTAGCTTTTTTGTAGATATAGGCAGATTCAAAATACTATCGTATGAAATAAAACAGATGTTACAGATGTTGTGTAGCACAAATCATCACGTAAGAACAAAAATGCAATAGAAAGTACAAACAATGAGCTAAGATCTCGACATAATATGTTGATATTACAAACACATAGTCTTTGCTTGTTAGCTATCCGGAATCATAAGCATTTTCTATTCAACCGCTTTTCCAGAGACCACATCATGAGTTTTTTTTTATAACACTTCAGGAACTTAATCAGACACTCCCACCCTTGTTGATGACATACAGAGAGCTTGAATGAAGATTTGCTTGCAGGAGCTTGGTGTGAGCGAACCATCTGCTTGATTGTGGCTTGCATCTGTAGCCCATTTAAATAGGCAACTGAGCAAATAGAAATGATAAATGAGTTCACTATTCCACCTCCCACCTTGACCAATGGAAATGAATCATTCAGAGATACCAAATCTTGCCTATCAATTTCCACGTACTCTAGAGATCTGCCCACCCTTTTGAACCAATAGGAGAATTGAATTTCAACCAAAACCCACCCACAATTAATCGTAACCGCACAAAAAAACCTAACCTTTTTTATGAGCAGTGTCACCAACGGGACTGACCAATAGAAACGGAATAAGGTAATTAGTGAACTGTTCACCTTTGATCTTCAAGATTTGATCAACAAATTATTTACGTGGGCCTTTAGAAATCTGAGCACATATATTATTTTGCTATTATTTTTGATGAAAAAAGTAGCTAAACTATGATGTTGACATTTCTTGGAGGGAACTCTATTCATCAAAAATCTTTTCCTTTTATATTAAGATAGATGTAAACATGTACTCCCTATGTGTTCTTATCCTTGATAAGTTGATATGGGTTCTTTATTAGATTAATCTAATTATAGTGAAACGTTTTGTAAAATGTAATTGTGGACATTAAAAGTTGCTAATTTTTTTCATCTTAGAACACAAAATTCCTTTTCTATTTGAACTTATCTAGCTTTTCACTTTTTACTTCATTCTCTAATCATATCATGTTATTTTATTTATCATTCTATTTCAATTTTATTTGAACTTGCCAAATATGAGTAACTACATACACATTAATTTATCTTTACAAAAATATTTGTGTCGATAAATATTTGTACTCAATGTGTAGTATTCTTTTGTATGTGTAAAATAAAAACTATCGTCTCATAATGTAATATAGATGTAGATTTGACATGGATTTTAAGAAAATAAATGATAAAATGATTATTTTATCCTTTTAATTAACTTCTAAAAGGTGTAGAAGTAGGGCGAGTCTATAAATTAAATAATGAAATACTCCCTCCGTCCTGCAAAATAGTTCCCGCTTTACTTTTTGGGCCGTCCCAAAAAATAGTTCCTATTTCCCTTTTTGGAAGATTTTGTATGGCTCATGTTCATTTACCTTTTTCTTACTCAACCACAATCATACATTTCCACTTTATTCTCACTTTCTTAAACTCCGATCCAAGTCAATGCGGGAACTATTTTATGTGACGGGGGGAGTAATAGACAAAGTGTGAATATCAAATGGTGAAATTAGAGAGAGATTAAATAATGAAATACTCCCTCCGTCCTGCAAAATAGTTCCCGCTTTACTTTTTGGGCCGTCCCAAAAAATAGTTCCTATTTCCCTTTTTGGAAGATTTTGTATGGCTCATGTTCATTTACCTTTTTCTTACTCAACCACAATCATACATTTCCACTTTATTCTCACTTTCTTAAACTCCGATCCAAGTCAATGCGGGAACTATTTTATGTGACGGGGGGAGTAATAGACAAAGTGTGAATATCAAATGGTGAAATTAGAGAGAGATTATTAGTCATTTCTAAAATCATGTTAGCTTTTTAAGATAGTACGTAACACCTTACTCCGTATAATACATTTTTTTATTCAGTCAATATATCTTGTGCTATACACATACTTTTCTTCATTTCACAAATTACTAAAATGAAAATCTTTAATGCAAGAACAAACATCTCTTCCGTATAAAACAGTGAAAATTAAAATCCATGAAACCCTAAATTCAATAACAACATGCACAATAAACACATCATGAACGGTTATTTACCTTTCACATGAAATTAGTTGAATTTGAATTTGGAGGGTACTTAGAATTGATTAATAACCATTGTCTATTTCTTCTAGTTTTTAAAATCACTAACCATTAGTTTTAAAGTCTTCTAAAAAAAAATTAGAATGATGAGGTGAAACTCCTATACATTCAAACTATTGGACAATGAAACCTTTTTTGTTGCAAAACCCACGGAGTAATGTGCGAAAGGAAGACAATATTTCGGTTTTCGTGAAATATTTAACATTTTAAATCTGAATATTTTTAACAGTTAAATACCATAGCTAAATAGAAGTATTTCATAATGACCTAAAGGCAGTTTATTGGGAAAAAGACCTATTATATCATAGCTAAATACTTAAATCCGCTTCTATTTGCTGAGTTTTTTTCAATCGAAAGGTAATAATTAAATGTGACTAAAACGATTATATTATTAGTATAATAAGTTGCAGTCTTAATCAAGCGATTTAGAAACAAATAATCAACTTCCGTCTTTTGAACGGTGAAATACACCATTGTCCTCTTTTTTTTATTCCCAAGAGTCCAGTCAAAAGGAAAAAACACAGCATTTAGAAGACAAAATGGTTTTTCCATAAAAAAGAGAAGACAAAATGGCAAATTAATGCGGCAAGTAATGAATTATGTCTATCAATTAACGTCACTTGGGTTATGTGTGGTGATGATAGAGTTTGACTAATGAGATTATTAAAATGATAAACATGTTTTTTGAAGTTAAATGATAAACATGTTAAAAGCCTTAAACATCTAAAATTTGTTTAATATACATCATTCATTTAAGGAGAACATGAAAAATTTCCGTGCTTCTCTTCAAGTATTTTTGTTTCCCAAAAATTACTTTCCATATGCTACTTTCCCTACTTATTGATAGAACAGCATTTCATTCGCGAAGAACACAACTGAAATAGGAGCGGAGATGGAGATAGTAATCTAATATATATTCAAGTGCAAAATTGAATGAGAATGACTAGATTTATAGTGCTCTAATTACGAGACATCGACAAAAAAAAACATTTTTTCAAATATTATATCCAAAAATTCAAAAATATACAGAGTATATAATACGTATAAAGGTGATCCTACTTAAGCCATGTGGATGAAATTGGGCTTTAATTCGATTCGACCTAACTGAACCACACGATGGGGTATTTATCCTCGCTCATCACATACAGGTCTCCCCTCCATATAAAACTTGAGTGCTCTCCGGGCTCAACTCAATAGCAAAGGTTTGCTTATATATGACATCAACTTTCAATGTAAGACAAGGTATTTACAAGGAAACAATTTTAGCGAAGTTATATGCAACAAGTTCTCATTCATTTTTAAATGATGACTTTACACAACTTAATCCAAATTATTTTCTACTCCCTCCGTCCCAGAATTAACTTCGGTTTTGACTGAGCACGAGTTTTAAGATAGTGGAAAATATGTGTTGGAGAGTTGTGCAGAGGAGAGAGAAATGTGTAAAAATGATTGTGAACCCCAAATTCTTTACCAAAAAGAGAAACTGGAGATAAATTTGGGACGGACCAAAATGAAAAGAATGAATATAATTTTGGGACTAAACACTTGGACTTGTCCACCACAAACGACTTGTGGGCCCATTTCATATTCAGCTTCTAGACGACTAATATATACGGAGTAAGTACTAAAAACTACTACGTATATTCAACACAAATCACTTGGCTACACATGATCAAATCAGGCAAAACGAAACAAAATATTTTAGCAATTCATATTAGATCCAGGGATGGGCACTGGTCTGGTCCAATATTTTGCCAAACTCGTACCTATACCATTATTATTGAAACGGTTCGGTTCGGTTAGGTCTTAGACCTAAACCCGTTCGATACGGTCCATTTTTAAACGAGACGGTACCATGTCATACCAATACCAAACAATGTCATTTTTTTCAAGTGTTGAAGGAAAAATTAAAGTTTAGCCATCTCAAAAAATTCACACAATTTATCAATTTTCGTATTTCAAACTATCCCCGTTCCAAATTGATTTGCAAAGTCAACCTTTTTGGTCAAATAGTTTATTTTTATTCACTTAATTAGGATTTGACTTTTTAATTATATTCTAATTTGGCCTTTCAATAAAGTACTTCGTATATTCTAATTTGGATTTTGCAACTTTAGAGAGATTTTAATGTGGTATCTAAATATGTAAATTTTCAATTATTAATAATTTATTAATTATCATTAACATTGACAAATAAATGTTGACTTTGCAAATTAATTTGGGACGGATGATGTAAATAATAAATCTTAGATCCACTATAGTAGTACAAATTTAAATAATTAAAGTATTAAACCATACTTCGGTCCGGTTCGGTCCGGTACCGGTTCTCATTTTATGAGAACTCGTTGTGACATTGTTTGGAACCGGTACGGTCTGGTTCGGGACAAAACAAATTGAGATCTGTTTCAAACCCTGTTTATCGGTCTGATACCATACCGGTCCGGTTCGTTACCATATTGATTCGGTATTTTTGTCCCCACCTAATTCAAACAACAAATGTTATCCAAAAATTGAACCTTAAAACATAGGGAAAAGGGGTCTAAAAGCCTAAAACGAGAAAATCACCAACCGCATATCGAATCCAAGTGGATGAGAAAGTTAAAACCGGGCGCACCCACCGTTGGGGCCGAGGTTCAGTGACGTGGCATCTTTTCAGGATAAAGTAGGAACTTCCCTGACGCTTCTATTGAGACCCGACGACACGTAAATCACACGCGCCTCTTCAGAGCCTACCCTGCCAACTATAATAATACCAACAAAGGCTAAAGCGTTAAGGAAAAGGAGTTCTTCGAATACCAGAAGTATACCAAAACTCTCTCCGCAATAAAGACTTCCTTTTTCTGCTCCATCCCTCTTTCTCTTTTCTTACCAAAATCTTTATTTCTCTGATTCTGTGAATAAGAAATGATTTGAATTGTTTTCCCTGAATTTTGTGCATACTGGGAAAGTGGGAATAGATTGATTAGTTGATCAGTACTGAAGTTGGAATCCTTGGGGTTTCCTTTCCTGGTAAATCGAATTGTTTGGTTGGTATTTTGGTGTTGGTGATGGAGATGGGAGTAGTGTCTCCGGGGATGGTGGTCGTGCCGGGAGGAGTAGCTATGGAAATTCCGGCGACCGATGGAGGAGCGACGTCGTTGTCCCCTCCGACGATCCCGCCGTGGCTTCGCCTGAAGCTCTCAGAGCCGAAGACTTCGCCGCTTACTGTTGAAGATATTGAAGCCAGACTTCGGGGAGCCGATCTTCGTCGACAGGTCTCTCTCACCAAACCAGAACTTTCACCTAATTTTAAAAATTGCATAAATCCAGTACACTAAAATTAAATAAATAAACTGCACAAAGGGTATTAGAACTGAATTCTCTCTTTTTACTTAAAATTTTTCCCCACTTAGTTCATGAAGAGCTCGAACGGTAGTACGGATGATTAAAAAAGTAGTCTGCATAAGACCAAAATTATATTCAACTGTTCAAATATTTTGCATTTTTTTGTGCAAATATCAAAGTTGTGCTGTTTTTACTCTTTCTCAAATATGTTTAACGTTTTTATGATGTCAATCAGAAATTTTATGAGCATCTCTCAAGTAAAGCTCGACCAAAGCCAAGAAGCCCAACACAGTCCATGACTTGTGAAGAAGACCTTGCCCAGAGACTCGAGGCTAAACTTCAAGCTGCACATATGAAAAGGTCCCTCATCTTTTATAGAGTTTTTTCTTATTGAGAAATTTGTTTTTTATTCCTGTCTAGTTTATTCATATGAATAAATCGGAGTAAGTCATTATATTATGTTTGGATTTTGACCTGGGCTGTATAGTTTATTCTAACAAGGGACCATTCCTAGAATACTACATAACTTATTTCACCTACCATTTGCCTGTGTTTTTAAGTTGAGGCCTGTGAGCTCTTATATGTTGTTCAGCTTATTGGACTGGCTTATTTAATCTTATTGAAGGATTTCCAAACATTATTGACTAGGATTTATGGTTAAATCTAAAGCCCTTATGTTTTGGAGGACTTAAGCTTATTTACTCTCATGTATTGGTAGACATAGGTTTATTTAAATTTTAAAGAAAATTCAATCTTGTATTCATGTGGAATGTCATACTCGAAGGGGCCGAATTTGAAAGTTAATACATAGCATTTTTGGTTATGTTTTCTATCTTCCAGAATGAGCATTATTGCTAAAGAGAGGACGCGTCTAGCTAAGCTTGATGAGTTACGTCAAGCAGCTAAAAGGGGAGCAGAGATGCGCTTCAGAAAAGAGCAGGCTGAGTTAGGCAACAAAGTGGAATTGCGTGTTCAGCAGGCAGAGGCTAATAGAATGCGTATTCTTAAGGCTTGTCATCAGAGGAGGGCTACCTTGAGGGAGAGGACATCTCAATCACAATCAAGAAGAATGGCCCGAGAAAGCAAGTACAAGGAACGTGTATGCTCAGCCATTCGCCAGAAGCGTACTGCAGCAGAGAAGAAGCGAATGGGGTTGCTGGAAGCAGAGAAGAGGAAGGCTTGTGATAGGGTCATCCAGGCTCAAAGGGTAGCAAAGTCCATCTCTCACCAACGAGAAATCAAGACAAAGGAAATAAAAAACAAGTTAGAAGACAAGCTACAAAGGGTATACTAACTAATTTCATGTCCATTAAGAGTGTATTTGAAACTTAGTACTTTAAAATTAATTTTGTGTGTTTATTACAGAGTATCAATTATAAACAAACCATGAAATCGTTACTTTATTATGTAAAACAACAAAGAAATTACTTATACTCCGTGCTAGATATTCATTTGCATTTTTTGAATTTATATGATTTTTTTCCTTTTCCTTGCATTTTCCGTGATTCAAACATATGCTAATAAAACCCAATATCTTATCAAACTTATTTATTGTTTGCTCTTCTGACCCTAGATTTTTGTGTGGTAAACAGGCGAAGAGACAGCGGGCTGCATATTTGATGCAGAGAGCAAGACAGCACACTCATATTTATAGTAATTATTATTACAGTAAATCGCACGAGCAAGCTGACCAACTCTCCAGAAAATTAGCTAGGTAAATAAAGGAATTTTCTTGTAACTTCTCTATAATTTGTTTGATTTGGGGGAAGAAGCAGTGAAGTGGGTAAATAGACGAGGAAGATAGGGAAAACAGAGAAATATTGTAGTTTTTGGTATTGTTTGGTATAAGAAAATGTGCTGAAATATGGAGGACAAAGAAACTGTATTTGGCATAAATATGAAAGAGGATAGTATGGAAAAAACGTAGCAAACACTTCGCACGCACTCTACTACATTGATTCGGCATATGTGTGATATGCAAACCTCCTATCTGCAGGTGCTGGAGACAATTCCGTGAGCAGAGTAAAACCACAGCATACCTTTCTGATGCTTACAATGCATTGAATATGAATCAAACTTCAGTTACATTGATGCCATTTGAGAAACTGGCACTTCTCATTGAATCTAGTCATACCCTTCACACAACTAAGGCCTTGCTCGACCGGCTTGAATTGCGAAACAAGCTGTCACGTGAGTTTTCCAGTAACTCTAATGCCTCTAGTTTGGATAATGATATTGATCACCTCCTCAAGCGTGTTGCTTCCCCTAAAAGAGAGTCCCGACCAAGGAAGAAAGCAGTGGATGCAAAGAAAATTGATTCTTGCAAAAAGCCTATAAGAACTACTGTTGTTAAGATGTCGCGTTACCAGGTCAGAGTCGTGCTCTGTGCCTACATGATACTAGGTCATCCTGATGCAGTTCTAAGTGGTCAAGGTGTGCGTGAGGTTGCTCTAACCAGATCCGCTGAGAAATTTGTCCAGGAGTTTGAATTGTTGATCAGAGTAATACTGAATGGGCCAATACAGACTTCTGATGAGTCGGCAGTAGGACTTAGAACATTCAGGTCACAGCTTGCAGCTTTTGATTCCGCATGGTGCTCCTATTTGAATAGCTTTGTGGTGTGGAAGGCTAAAGATGCTCTATCTCTGGAGAAAGATTTGGTGAGAGCTGCTTGTCAGCTTGAGATCTCTGCGATTCAGTATTGCAAGATGAGCCCCAAAGGCGATGGTGGTCCGCCTCTTACACCTGATATGAAGGCCATCCAGAAACAGGTGTGCCCCTATTTCTCGTTTTTCAGTTTTAAACACCTTTCTTTAACCTGTGCATAAGACTCTGGGATGTATCATGACATTAAATTGGGCCTAAATCACCTTCATCCCATAAAAATAGTAGGGTAAATTTACTTGCATTTATATAGTAGACCTAAAATCCAGTTTACAATTTCTGAGGGATACTTAACAGAACAGTAGATCATCAGGAGGTGGTTTGCATCACACACATACTGACTCAAATAGACCTAGTAGAAAACTGATGTGGTATACTTGTCAAAAGGTAACTTTGAGCCTTTGAATTATGTGTGCTGCAGGTTACTGAAGATCAGAGACTATTGAGGGAGAAAGTGCATAATCTGAGTGGAGATGCTGGTATTGAGCGTATGGAAAATGCGCTCTCAGAAACACGCCGAAAGTATTTCCAGGATAGAGAAAGTGAGTTCCCTGCCTCGAGTCCTTCACCTTCTTATGTTGGTACAACAGTGGAAAAAAAGAACTTTGCAGAGGGGAATGATGATAGTCTGAGGCCTAGCCATGTGGTACGGTCCTTGTTTAGGGATGAACCTGAACCAAAAATATCTAGTGTTTCTTCCCTCAGCACTAAAGGTCTACGATACTCTGGTGGTGAGGGACCGGACTTCGAGAATGAGTTGATTGTGAATGAATGTGTACATGGCCAGCATCTTGAATTTGCTTCTACTCCTAGAAGTGAGCTTGAAACTTCTATAAAGGTCTGTGTTCCTTTAGCAACCTCCATTGTATGCATTGTCTAAAGTTGATATATGTTGTAATCCCTTAATGCTATTTATCAATTTGGTCCTCTAGCAGATATGTATACCCTTCAGAATTAATTAAGGACCTTATTGTGTTCCAAAGTAAAGTGGGATTAAAGTGAGCGATATTATATAGTGAAGGGACTGAATCGGCACTCTATTATCTATCCTTAAGGGAAAAACTATGATAAACGTATATACATACAGTGAGAAGTTCAATCGGTTGTTATTATGCAGGCAAAGGTGAAAGAGACAATGGAGAAGGCATTCTGGGACAACATCATGGAGTCCTTAAAAGAGAAAGCTAACTTTAGCTGTATTGTTGACCTAATGAGGGAGGCAAGGGATGAACTTTGCACCATGGCTCCTCAGAGTTGGAGAAAAGATATTACAGAAGCTATTGATACTGATATTCTTTTTCAGGTTACGAATGATAGATGATTTTTCTCTTAATCTTTTCTATGAATTTAGTTTTAAAATAGCAGGCATTGTGACTGATTTTCCTCAAATCTTAGGTATTAAACTCTGGAAAGCTTGACATAGCTTATCTTGGAAGAGTAATGGAGTACATGCTGGGTATCATACAGAAATTGGCTGCCCCTGTCAAGGAAGATGAGCTAAAGATAAGTCAGCAGAAGTTGATGACAGAGCTGGCTGATATTTGTCATTCTGATGTTTATGTGTCAGAAAATCCAGTTATCTTTGCATTGATTAGGGGTTTGCGCTTTGTGTTGGAAAAGATCCAGGTAAGAACCCTTGGGGCCTGTGTACGGAAGAAAATGAGAGGGAAAGAAAGAGAGAAAATAAATGATACATGCAAACTCATTTTGTTTGTTTATTAATTATATTACTACGTACACAAAGAAATCTAAAAATGTAAAACTGTTATTTCCCCTGGCAGGAACTAAAGGAAGATGTAAGCAAAGCCCGCATTAGAATGTTGGAACCGGCTTTGAAGGGGGAAGCTGGGTTTGATTTTCTAAGGAAAGCTTTTGCCAGGCATTATGGGCCTCCCTCTGATGCAATTACTTCCTTACCCTTGACAATGCAATGGCTTTTACCTGTAAAAGACTGCATTGATCAGGAATGGAATGAACACAAAAATATGCTAGCTGAATTAAGAGGGCAAGATAGTGAACACCAGACGTTCATTCCACCTACCTCACTTCGAACTGGAGGAAGCTTTACCATCGAAACCCTGGGAAACCAAAAACCAGCATCTTCATCTGCTCTGATGGATTTAAAAGGTACATTAAACTTTAGAAATTATCTGCCCATCCACCTTGTTTCCCAATGGTCAAATCTAATTATCAATTGAATCTTCTTTATTATGTTTCTTCTTACAGAATGCAATGGAAACAAGATTGATTTACTTGTGAGACTTGGCTTATTGAAATTGGTGAATGGGGTAACTGGTCTGACTCAAGAAGGGCTGCCTGAAACTCTGAAGCTCAATCTCCTGAGGCTAAGGAGCATCCAAGCAAACAATCAAAAGATCATTGTAATTGCTACGAGGTAATAATATTTGCATGCACTTAACTCATAATACATATTCTAAAGGCTTAGATAGGTGGCAATACAGTCCCAGGCCCACCCTATTACAGAAAAGCTTTTTTCATGTGATTTTTTGGCTAAAAGTTTATACTAAAGTTACTCCCATACCATTTGAAATTCAAAAGGTCGGTGTCTTGCCATCTAGATTGATCTATGCTGATTTATCTCCTTGTCCGGGGTTGCCAGAAAACTGACCCCCATTTTTTGTATATGTAATTTAATACGTAGTACTTCCAAGTATTAAATTTTCATTTGGCCCCGCTTAAATGGCTATAAGGAAGTTTAAATAAATATATGCAGCATTCTAGTGCTACGGCAGACACTTGTGAGCCTACAAATGGTTGGAAATCCAACAGACATGGAGATGGTAACCTTAAGTAGTGTGAAGCGACTGTCTGAACTTCTGGACTCCGTTAAAGACGCAGCTGGTCTTCATGATATCATCGAGTCACTGTCCAAAGTATTGGAAGACGCCAACTGTGTTGACATGGCGAAGCTTCAAAGTATGAAAAACATTACAGGTAGGATGCTGTCTAAAAGTCTACAAGCAGAGGACCCGGTATTTGTTCGGGTGGCCCGCGCCGTGTACATGGCTGCAAGAGGGGTTTTGCTGGGAGGTAGCGGGGAAGAAGGGAAGAGATTGGCAGAAAATGCGTTGCGACAGGTGGGTGCAGGGGCTCTGGCTAAGGAGATGGTGGAAGCGGCTACTGTGTTGCTGGTGGCAGCAAATGTGACTGTCAATGTCCATGGTCCTTGGTATGCATGTTTAGTAGGAGAGTTGTGAATAGATACAATTGTGGGTGTATCGTTTATATGTACATATGTAGTGTTGTGGATAACAGATAAATTGTGTATAGATATAAAATAAAACAAGAAAACAAGCAACCATGTACAGAGAAGGGTTCTGTTGGAATTTCATTTGCATTGTATTTGTCAAGATATAAATGAACTTCAATAGCTGTGTAGGGCGAATATTTGTTTTGGAAGATTGATCTTTCATCCTTTCTTCTTTATTTTTTATCTTATTTATCATTCGTAATTATTATATTATATTTATGAAAAATGCTATAAGTATAAACACACTTACAAAAAAACTTACAAACTGATTATATTAATTACCATTGAATTAAAAGTGTTGTAAATGTGATGTGGTATGTTAAAAATGTGATAATGCCACTTGAATTAAAAGTGTTGTAAATGTGATGTGGTATGTTAAAAAATGTGATAATGCCACTTGAATTTTTGTACCTCTACCATTACCTTATACTCCGTATTTATTATCTTTCTTATCTACTGTTATCGTATATTTTTCTTTATTTTTATTTTAGCTTTTTCAGTTTAACTTATCTTTCCATCTTTTGACATTAATACTCGGATGTTATTATTGTAAAGGAAGTTTTAATGAAAATCCCTTTTAGAATGACAATTCATCTACATATGAGAAGAACTAATCTACCCTCAAGCCCTCAAGGTGACATTTTTGTGATAATTTTACAATAATTACAAATAGTATCTAATTTGAATTTTGAATAATAACTTAATTATGTGCATCCTACCAATGAAATGATTGAATGATCGAGTAAAATGAAAGGTTGCGATTAAAAATTTCCATTTTAAGGGATTCTCATTAAAACCAACCTCATTATTGTCTGTTGTCTCTTCATTGTTGTATATACGTATGTAAATAAGTGCTCAAGTTCTCTTGATAAGTATCAATATTTCAGCTAAGATGACTCACATGGGCTCTTTCACATGCTTAGCGAGGAAGTAATACATATTAACAAGACTACTTGTTAGATAGCCAGTCACAAGCATTCCATATTTAAAACTTTAATTGTGTACTGGTCAAGAGTTGTCATACTTAGGCGGGTGGATTAATAATTAATACTCTGTACGTATTAACAAGACTAGCATTTCATATATGCAATAAACTTCAGCAGCAGCAGCAGTAAGAACATTTTGTGTCAAATTCTAATAGCTTGTTGTTCCACAGCAAAGCAGCAGCAGCAGTAAGGACATTTTGGGTCAAATTCTAATAGCTTGTTGTTCCACAGCAAACCCGATGCGTCGCCCTCTAATCCATTTCCGGTATAAGCCAATGTAAAACAAAACAATGACCAGAATCACAGCACATGTATCTAACACCGCATATATTCCCAGTCTCCCTGCCAAACATAAACCCTCTTCTGTCATATACACAGATGCCATATTAACTTCATATTATCATCAAGTCAAGACTTAAAAATCACCTGTTGGGATGAAGTCGAAGTGGCATTTGCTATAGATCCAACCAACCAATAGCTGCAATAGAAACTAGTCAATATTTGAGATGAATGGCTGTTTGTTATACTTATACCAATAAACAGCAGAAATTGTAGTTCCAATTGTGAGGTCAAATCTGACTCAATGAAAACATGCACTTGGAATCTGTCATGACATCCCCTTTTAGCTTATCCCCATATGTGGAACTATTTATTAAAAAGTACTCATCCACAATATAAATAGGTGATCTCAAAACTTTGTGTTGGTAGTCCAAGGGCTTGTTTGTTTGGAGATTTCGGAGGGGAGAGGAGGAATATAAAAATCACTAACCTATCCTTTATTGAGAGAAATTAATGGGGAAAATGTGGATAAAATTAGTGTTTGGACTTACAGCCACGACACGCATCATGTTATAGTTTAACCTTAATTGATGAGGATCCAGTAATATATCCATCAGTGTCCATAGGACACTCCTAAGCAACAAAGGTGTTTTCTGTGGAGGGAAAGAGAGGAAGCCATATATAGAAGCTGTCAAGGCAAAATACATTAATGGGTATTCAAAAAATGGGGGCAGAACAACTTAGAAAACTACATACCAACACAATCCCACGCATTCCACCTACATAGAGGCGATTGTAGCAGTGGATGCCCTTAAGGAGGTCAACAATGTCCTTTTCCTGTTGAAAAAGGAGTGAGGCCTCCGGTGCAAGCTGGGTGATGGAGCAAGTGCAGATGGGACACTTGCAAGCTCTAAGTGCTCCTCTATACCTCCACAGCTGCAAAATGCAATTTCCTGTTTTTGGAAAAGTAAAATGTTTTATCAATAATGAAAGGAAAAAAGAATCTATCGACTTATTTGGGATTCGGGTGTTTGGAGTCCAAAATGCATGTTAGAATGATATGCTGAAGCTGTTTGTTTGTGCGATAAGAGACCGTGAACCACAACCTGTTTGTAGGCATCATAAGAAAAGATTGAAGCGTGGCTTCCACGATACATAAAATACCCGGCCATAACAAGGAGCGAAGTATTAGAGCATAGCAGGGGAATCCGCCATTTTGGCTACCACAATAGTGTTTTCCATCATTCCATGGCTCTGGTTTACTTCAACATTGGTCCATCAAACGTCTAAGATAGGCCAGGTAGGAAGGTACCCTACTATCTCGATTATGAGATGAAGGGATCATCACACCCACAACCGATATCGTAAAAAGCATTCTGGGGATGCTAAGTGGCAGACCAAGAACTACTGCCGTGTAGTCTGGATAGCTTCATTTATGTGTAATCTAAGGGTCGGTTTGGATGGAGAGAGGGCTTTGGTGGGGTTTAGTGGGTAACAGTGTAACACTTTAAGGGCTTGGAATGGGATCCTAACTCCTAAGTGAAATTAGGGGGATCGAGGCAGAAAAACCCGAGGCGTAGATTTTAACAAAAATGTCCACAACACAACAAAGTAGCTAAAATATTGAACATAACTGCACAATTGAACAGAAATCAGATTAACAAGGCACTATAACTATATGACAGAGCAAGATCTATAGTACTGCACAAATAAGAAGTGGCAGTTTTGATGAATATACAGCTTGGAACCACTGTGCCACTGAAGTATGCAAAAAAAAAATGAAGCGTGGCGATCAAGGTGTTTTTGCCAGATCAAATACGGAATACCCAAGGAATCACAATTTCTAAAGGGGAAAAATGAGACTAATAACTTTTGAAGGATTTGATATGATGTTGTCAACAAGGAGCTTAAATAAATAAGCTAACAGCAGCTTGAACAAACAAAAGCCAGATTCATTTTAAAATAATTGAAGGATTAAACCATAATAAGGAACTAAGCTAATACCGCAAAACCAGTGGCCGCAATTAGTCATACAAGCAACGGAGAAGTCCTCGAAGCAAATGGGGCAGCAGTCGTCCTCCGGCGGCTTCTCCTTCCTCTTCTTCCTCTCCTTTTCTTCTTCCGCCATTTCTGTAACACTCGAGTTCTCGATCGTCACTGTATCACTCCGCATTATACATCAGCCGCCGAAATTCATGGCGATTCCCGAATATGTAGAGATGGTACTGCTGGGGCTATATAGCAGAAGAAGTAGAAGCACACAAAGAGTGGAGGGAGGGAAATAGCAGCTTCGCAAGCAGTGAGTATACCGTATGCGACAAGTATTGTACGCGTAGAAAAGTACGTATGCGGAGTAGAGGATGAAGGCGGCAAATCGCGAAGCACGTGCTTTTGTGTCCGTACGATGTGACGCGTGGAGAATTTTTTCTCGAAGATGATGCATTGCGGGCCCCACGGGGTTTATGGATTTATATCCAAATTAATTTCTTATCTTGTACCGCCGGTTGCGATGAGCTTCTGAGTCTGACATATGCTGCTTTGTTTTCTTATGCTAAACTTGAAAAAAAAAATGTACCTGATTATTTTTGGGAAAACTGTCAAATAGGTCCTTGAACTTTCATAAAAAGGTCAATTAAGTCCTTTTATAAGAGGTTCTGTCCGGCCATCGCGATTTGGGCAGTTTCCGGTGGAATTTTTTGATGAAATTTTTTGAGCATCTTATTCACCAAGTCTAGTTTACTCATACCAAATTTCAGCTAAAAATTCAATCGGGAACACATATAAATTAATTCTTGAAGATAATTGCACATTTTTGCGTTCTCGGATTAATTTGAATGCGCTCCCGATTAAATTTTTAGCTGAAATTTGGTATGAGTAAACTAGACTTGATGAATAAGATGTTCAAAAAAATTCATCAAAAAATTCCACCGGGAACCGCCCCAAATCGCGATGACCGGACAGAGTCTCCTATACAAGGACTTAATTGACTTTTTTATGAAAGTTCGAGGACCTATTTGACAGTTTTCCCATTATTTTTAGACTTTGAGTATATGGAACTAGGCATGGACCCGGTTCGGGCCGCCGGCCCGGGACCGGCCCGGCCCGCCACTGTGCGGGCCCGGAACCGGCCCGGTTCTCGGGCCCGGGTCCGGGTCGGGCCTAGGCCCGGTGGGGGGTGGGTCCGGGCTCGGGCCTTGTATTTGGCGAACCGGCCCGGCCGGGTCGGGCCCGGGCCAAAATTGTTTTTTTTTTTTTATTTTTTCATTTTTTTGGGCTTTATTGAGTTGGGCTTGATGTTTAGGACCGGTTTGGGGGGTTTGGGGGGTGGGGGTGAGGGGGGGGGGGGAAGAAAAGAAAAAAAAATAAACTAACCGGGTGGCCCAGCCCGGCCCGGCCCGGTCCGGCCGGAACCGGTGGCCACCGGTTCGGGCTCGGGCCCAACAAAACAGACCCGAGGCCCGGCCAGGCCTAGGCCCGAACCGGGCCCGAACCGGCCCGGGTCCATCCATATATGGAACGGCTATAATATTCTTCTCTGGTTTTTTTTAAATCGATAATGTAAAATACTCAATAATAATAAAAGTACAACCGCATTTATTTATCTAATTTATGTATGAGTATGATGTGTGAACGAGTGTCCAATGGGATCCGGTGTCTCTGCCTTGGTTAAGCAGCCAAGGAGGGTGCCTGGTTGTTTTCATCCATCAGATCAAAAAATGAAGGGTTGAAGATGAAGGGCTCCATTTTTTGCACGAATCTCGAGGCCTACTTTTCTATCTGTGCCGTCCATTTGAGTAAGGCACCTCTGCCTTAAGGCAGAAGATCCCAATCCGTGTCCAATGGTCTCAAACATCTCCATAGTAAGCATAATCTTTTATAATTTGATCTCAAAACTAAATAGGGGGTACTCCCTCCGTCTCATTTATATTGTCTCATTTTACCTTTTCGAGTAGTCTCACTTAAATTGTCTCATACCATATTTGATAAAGTTTGTGTGGCTCAAAATCATTCTTACTTTATTCTTCCTTTATCAATTAATATCAACCACACAAACTCACTTTTCTTAAAACTTGTGTCACTTTCTTCCTCCCAATATAAAAGGGACGGAGGTAGTATATATTAATATAAGCTCAATTGTATGATGGGGAAATTTATATATCAATAGTGATTTGCCTTAAGATTTCATACTACGTATTCATTTTTTGTATTTGATATTTGAAAATTGCTTGAGGTACACAAAATGTGTACGCATATCTGTCCTTTACAGAAATTTTGTCTGTCACAGACTCTATTCTAAAAATCGTTCTAGGCACCCGACTAGTCCCTGTCTAGGCTAGGCGGTGGTCAGGCGTCCCGATTTTTCGTCAGTTTGTTGAAGTAAATTCATCTCTATTTGCCTATATTTTGTCGCTATAATATATTTTAAATACATTAAATAAGGTTATTTTATCTTCAACTAACTTAATTAGTTGACTAAATTTATCCTAATCCCGAATCATACATCATACATGCATCAATGCATGTGTTTCACCTTGTAAGCTGTGACATAAAAGGAAATGTTATTAGATGAGATCATGAGAATTATTTTTTAGGGGGAATTGTTTAACAAAACTTTATTGGGACCTGCCCCATCATCTTTTGCGTACAACACAAGTGATGATGAGAGGAAAGTCCATATCCAAAAAGACATGAAGGGGTATAACCGTATAAGTATAACTCATCCACTATCTGAGACAAGACAAATTCCCACTTTTGAAACTTGAAGGGTTCATGAATCATGAATGGAACAGGGAAGGTTGTCAAATTCGGAAGTGTATATAGTACCACCGGTTGTACGGTGCTCACCGTACAGCCGGTGACATTTTTGTAATTTATATGAAATTCGCGTCTCGTACTAAATGAGTATTAAACCACGCCTAGTGAGCAAGTGACATATTTTGTTGAGCATTAGAAGCATAACATTGAGCATCGTGATCTCTGCTTCATCTCTTCGAATTTACTTTCTTTTCCTTATTTTTTTCTTTATAAAAACTTATTAAATTATATATATAATCAACTCTTATGAACTCCAGTATGCGAATTTAATGCAATATGATACTTTTGAAATATACATTGTTATGTCATATTACAAATGAGCATAACATGAATACCCGTTGAGCATACATAACTTATAAAATGAGAATTGATATGAAAATCATAAGTACTTTTAATTGAACATCAAGACATTTTTATTGAGCATCAACTTGAAAAGTATCGCCAATGATTTTCATTATGCGATTGTGATGAACATTGAGTCTGTTCTTTTTAAATGAGCATAAAATAACACCAAATGAGCATATGTAACTTACAAAATTAGTATCAAAAGATTTAAAAGTCCATTTGTGTATGCTCATTCATTTTGACCTTATACTCATTTGAGTTTAACATTAATATGATACGTTTGAAACGAGTATAAAGAGATACCAAATGAGCATACATAAATCACAAAATGAGTATAAAAAATTCAAAAGATCATTTGTGTATGCTCATTCATTTTCGGTTGTATACTCATTTGAGTTTTACATAAAACTCATTTTTAATATGCTCGATATTTATTTGTGTATGTTCATTCTTTTTAAGCTTATACTCATTTGAGTTAAATATAAACTCATTTCAGATTCGTCATCAAGAAATATGAACTCAAATCTCCTAAATCATCTTCCAATTTGTCTTCCCTGCATACTTCTTCCCGACCAACAAAGAAATCACCTAGAGCCGCCGTCTCTTGCGTAGCTCTGCTAGAGGAGAAGAGAGTGGCGAGAGGAGAGCTTGAGGAGAAGAGAGCTTGAGGAGAAGAGAGCTGTCAAAGGAGTTGCCTGCTTGGAGCTTGAAGTTCTTCGCAAGCACCGCAGAAGCAGGACGAAGCAGGGACGGAGATCGGAGAAGCCAGGCGAGAAGCAGGGAAGAAGATCGAAGAAGCGCAGAAGTCCTAAAAAAGACCGGCTGTACCGTGCGCACGGTACAGCCGGCTGTACGGTGTATTTTACGGTCAAATTCATGACTAATCCATGAAAGGATTTTACGCCTATTAGATACGTGGTATATGTTTCCTATTGGCCACATAGTTCATATGACTTCATAAAGGAATCTTATGTGACTCCTTAAATTTTCACTCCAAATTGGTGCCCACGAGCTCCATGCCAACATTTGACCCAACTTTGGTTTTCTTGGCATGAATGAATTTCAGGATGCCAATGTAATTCTCATGATCAACGAAAGCTTAGATAAGCCTAAAAGGAGCCGGCAAATTTTCAGTGTGTAGTAAACACAACACATCAACGACACGATACATATACAAAAGACCGAATCTTACAGTGAATTTGCCTCCTACCTACAGAACACGCAATTCTAACCCTGGCATCTTTTACCCCCATGAAGGTAGCATCCTCCCTCCTGCCTCACCGTTGGCTTTTGCAACCGAGACATTGGTTTGGGGGTTGGTGTTCTCCTCAAAATCAAAATCAGTGTCGATACAGTCATCATAGTATCCCAGTTCCTCATAATCAATCAGCTTTCCCTTCTTTTGTTTGCATTGCTTGTTTGAAACCCGTTTCTTGGAACATGCCGTGCTTTCTACAAAGTTGTCACCTTTCCTCTTGCCCGAATCTGGACTCTCGTTGCTACTACCGCTGCTGGAGTAGGCCCTGATGGTTGCCTCTATTGTTTCCAATATTCGGTCTCCATATTTTTGAACTTTAGCGCTGGATGATATTACCCCACATACATTGCTCAGTAATGTGTTTGGTGTCACTTTGAAATGATATAAAAAATCAAATTTCTGAAACTTACATGCCCATACCCTTGACCTCTAGCAGTTCATCCTTGTTCCTGGGTATCCTCCTGCTAAGGTTCTGCAATGTAGCATTTCTAAACATGCCAGAGACATGGTTTTTATCAGTAAGACATTATCAAGCCTCAAACTGAATAAAAAGAGAATCAATAGTTTAAATGGGGACAAATGGGCTTTTGTTAAATTACATCGAGTGCAAAGGGACTCGGAGATTATTTTAATATTTTTATTGTTAGATATTTTTTGTGGGGGTGCGGTCTGATAAGTAATTAACAGACTCATATGATAGATACTACGTATATCATATGGTACAAGGGGTATGAATGATGCTCATTTTAAAAGAATTGAAAATATACTTGAAAAGTAGTCATATTGCATACAACAATCGATTGCAAATGTTAAGTTTTATTGTTAAATGAAATGAATGAAAAAATGTGTACCCAAATATATGGTAAGCATTGACTCCGTCTCCTGCTTCCCTAAGCAGATTAGTTCGAAGAGTCCGTATCGCATTGTACACCTTGGCTGACAGACTCTACATGAGCATAACATAAAAAAAAAAACAAAAAAAAACATATCATACATCTTATTTTAAACTACACATCATATATATATAGGGAGCGTTCCGATGAGAAATGACTCTCAGGAGAGAAATGAGAATGAATCTGGACCGTTAGATTGTATTATGTGAAACTGAATTGTGCATTTAGTGATATTGAAATATTCATTGGATAAAATTGAAATATGTAGAATAATAGGTAAAACTCAAACATGCATTACGTGAGTTGAAATGTGCAGAATAAAATGCACAAAAATGTCACCGCATCGTAGTTTATATTCTGCACATTTCAGTTTCACCTCATGTACAATTCAGCTTCACATAATGTCATTATGTCGTACCTTTTGTGTTGCACATTTCGATTTTATCTAATGCACATTTCAGTTTCACCTAATGTACATTCAATTTCACAGAATACAATCTAACGGTTCAGAATCATTCTCATTTCTCTTCTAAAATCATTTTCTCATTTGAACCTAATTCTATACACACACACACATAAATATATATTATATTAAAACGCTCATGTATTCACATCCAGTCACAGGCATACCGTCTCATCCTTAGGTTCTTTTGTGGATGTTAGTGTGGATTTTGCAGGGGTCATTTCTACTTTACCCGTCTTACATGCATTGGAAAATGTTGGGAATCTGCACAAAAAATATGTAGACTCATGTAAGATCTTTCATTCTTGTTATATCATAAATGTAGGAGACGGATCTAAGAAAGAACAATCAAGTATCAGGATATCGACTATCGAAGTAATTATCCCTTTCCTATCATGCTGATTTATTCTTATTAGAAATTTAAATAAAAGTATCTGTATAATGCTCTGTTATTATAACGAAATGACACAAAAAAAATTATATCTTTCACTACAAATATATACCTTAATTTAACTATATGTCCAGGGGCAAAGAGGATATTGGCTTTGAACTGATTCACCTGAAAGTAGAAAGACACGAACCTGTATAAAAGAGCATGTTTGGGAATTGGGATAGGTTGAAATATACTACGTGTGTGATTTGTCCACAATGTTTTTTTACTTTCTTCATTTAATCACTTAGTGTTTTCCTGAAAAAAGACTAATATGATACTTCCTTAAATAGAATAAGCAATAGAACTGTTTTTGCTGTTGCGAACAATGATTCCATTTTCAAACATGTCATTTAGAAGTAAAAAGAACTTTTCTTCCTCTAAAAAGCACTTACTCCTTGAATATAAGTCACCTCAAACACCAACAAGCATCACTCTACCTTCAATATTGATGATACAGAGCCATAGGTATCGCTTTTTTTAACGTCCTCCGTTAAAATATCTTCAGTAACAAGGTGACGCAACACTCGGGATGCTTCACCTTTTGCAAGATGTTTTCCAGCTCCATGCATGCTCAATTTATCATGTCCATGTTTTTTAACCTAGCCCGGAAACAGCAAAATATATATACAATTAGAAAGAATCAATATACGTAGTATATCATTAAAAGTAACTTGCAGCTAGGACATACAAATTGGTTCAAGGACCCCCTAAACACTTCCAATATATGAGCTGATGAAAACTGCTGTCCTGTCATCTTCACTAACTCAACCTGATCAGTCAAAGAAGGACTAAAAAATTATGTCACAAAAATGAAGTAAATGATTGAATACTGATTAGTTTGTGTCCTAACTAATTGTTTTGCGGTTCCAGAAACATCCTTTTCAATGCAGCTCTGAGCCTTTGAGCAGTTGTCACAAGTTTTCATGCAGTTGACAGAGTCAAACTTTTCACCAAAATGAATAAGCTGAAGGAGGCGTCTACAATCAGCATCGTTCTCACAGTAGCTAACCTGAAATTGAAGTTGATACACTACTCTTACGCAGAAGGTACAGTAATTATTATAATACAGAACAGCAAGTAGCACAGTTCCATCACATGCCATTCTCAAAAGATTCTCAGTGTTCATTTCCAGTATATTCCCAGAGGTTGTCATGCTAGAAGAGCCATAACCAGGTGTGAAAGCACCTTGTTCTACATTGCATTGGCTAATCATATGCTTCACTCTTATCTACAGATAATAAAATGGAATAAAACAAGAAAAATTATTTACGTTCCAAGAATAGCATCCATAGAATACTACTACAAATAAACTCAGAAAGAGTAAAAGAAAAAATATTCATAAAAGGATCAATACATAATCACTGTAGCTGTAGTACAGCACACAAGATGAAGGTTGGCCGTCTCTACCAGCACGACCGCACTCCTGCAGCATGGAGGTGTCATTTTATGTAACTAACTGATCTTTTAAATAATTTGAAAAACATGGAGAAAAGCAGATCTAGAGAAGAAAAAAGGATGCAGTTGAAGATGAACTTTCGATAACCACCTGATGGTAGCCTTCTATAGATTTTGGCAGTGAATGATGAATGACAAAACGTACATCTGGCTTATTGATACCTGAAATGCATTCCATGGGTTAAGCTAGCTTGTGGTTTTGAACATAGATATGGCGTTTTATGAATAGTCAATCATACCCATTCCAAATGCAACAGTTGCACAAATAATATTGATCTCATCTTTGCTCCATTGTTTCTGTACATATGCACGCTGAGAAGCATCCATGCTGCCATGGTAATATGCTGCTTTGTGTCCATATGCCTGAACATTAAAACTCGTCCAATTTTAGTCACAAGTATAATGTATAGAAAATGGAGCTAAAGAAACTGCATTATGAAGAAGCCGTAGTAAATTGCCATCCATATAAAGACATGTCCAGGAGCATTCCATCAATCATTGTACTTGATTCCAATTGTTTAGTTAGAGACATCAAAGATATCATATTCCTGCTGTTCATATTTTATTTATACGATTCAAATTCATAGTAGGCTTTTGTAAAAGCAGTAACTTTTCATACTCAATGAATAGTTGTACATGATACACTTGAGAGCTGTCTATAGCCTGCAAGTACTAAAAAGGGATTGAGATAACTAACTGTACACACCGCCAATCATAGATTCATAGGAAAAACTTAAGGTCCTGACCAGTAAACTGATATTCATGGACATCTGATAAAATTGGAGCAAGACACTTACAAAAATATCAAGGAGATAGAAACCTAGACACATGGCCAACAACATGATCAAAAATCAAATTGTTAACATCTGGGTGTGGAACTTTAACATAACTCAAGCAAGGAAAAGACATCAGTAATTTTCCACAGATAACACATGCACACCAGAAGAGTAGAGCCAAATATATAATTTGACCTGTAACTTTTCTGCAACTTTTTCACAATCCATTCTGGAAAGACAATAGATGATTCCACATTCATCATAATGAGTTGTTCTTATGAAGACATCTATGTCTTCCAAAATCTTCTTTGTCTTTGGGATTACAGAATATCTGTAATAGTAACAAATGGTCAATACAAATCTAAGAGGTATAGACCCCAACATTGCAGTTTTAGAAGCACAAAACATGTCCACACTTACTGTAAATTAGGGCGATTAAAACTTTGTCGAAAGACAAGGCAGTTGGAAAGACCAAGAGCTTGAACAACATCTTCCTTGACACTGAGTGTTGCAGTAGCAGTCAACGCCAGAACAGGAACGCTTGGAAACTTCTGTTTAAGGATACCAAGACACTGGATGGGAACCAAAAGCATAGTATTATCAAAAGATGCCTGGTTGACATTGCCAGCTTAATATTAGTCACTTAAAGTATCACCTGATAGTCTGGCCTAAAATCGTGCCCCCATTGGCTTACACAGTGTGCTTCATCAATAACAATTCTAGAAAGCGAATCACTGGCATGCAATTTTTCCAAGTGTCGCAACAAAACATCGCTTCTGCAATCAAATAAAGATGTTCTTCAGAATCTCTCTGTTTCCCTAAATCATGTTTACCAGTTATGCATGTTACTAAAATATCGTTTCAAAATCCAGTGTCTAAATGGGTTTTAGCTGTAATGTGTAGACAAGTTGCTTAAAGGTGTAAGCTAAAACTTAAAGTTAGTACAAAAAACAGTCAGCACTCACTTAGCAACTTTCTCTGGTGTGACATATAAAAGTTTGTATTTGCAAACACCTGAACTAAGTTCTCTAAGAATCTCCTGTTGCTCAGCCCATTCCAAGTTGGCACTAAGATATGTGGCAGGAATATTGACCTGCAATGTATATAAAGCAAGATGCAAAGGTAGGCATCTTTGTAAGTATAGCTATAAACAATGAATTGAGGGAAAATACAAATTCCTAGAGCTAACACAATATTTACCTGTAGCAGATGCATCATCTGATCTTGAATGAGTGAAACAAGAGGTGATATTACCAAAGTAACCCCAGGAGAAATGAGAGCTGGAAGCTGGAAGAGGCAAGCATTCATGTTAATAATTAAAATTACTCCTCCCCATGCCAAAGTAAACTCCACTTTCCTTTCAAACTTTTATCTTCTAACATGGTTTTATGCCTTTCAAGTGACTATTTTCCAGTTTGATGCTAACGATTAACAACAATTTATCTTCCCTTTCCCACAATCAGAAATATGTACTAATCTCACCTACCGGTTACTATAACAATTAAAAAATCTTAATATAAACTGTCACTGAGATAATCATCATTGAATGAAAAAAGCATGAGCACACAAAAAGCATGAGCACAAAAAATTAACACTAGTGTTGCCTACTTTGATTCTACTGATATTCAGTTAGATAAAGAAATAATAGTATCACCTGGTAAGTCAGACTTTTTCCTCCCCCAGTTGGCATTAAAACAAATACATCGTATCCACTCATAGTAGCATTAATCACCTCTCTTTGGTTAGGGCGAAAAGAGTGGTTTCCAAATACTTTTTTGTTGTTGACCTAGCAGCAGAACAAATTGTCAGATATCTGAGTAACCACCCTGATAAATGCAAACTGTACAAATTGATTTAAAAGTGTGCACCTCAAGCTTTTGTGTCCAAGGGAAGTCCCGGGAGCTCCACCTTTTATCATTTGAACCATCAACATAATTGACTTCTATGTGTGTTGGTATATAAGGTTCTCTTCTGACAGTATCAGTTGAGAACCCATTTGATGAATACGAAACTGATGAAGAATTCCATTGGTCAAATCCAACTGGTTCAGTACATTGAAATTGCGTTTCAAGCCTTGTGGGATCAATCCCGAAAGGGGCTTTTCGAGTAGTCTCATGTTGAAAATTTGAAGTTGTGGTGGATGCAGAGAACTGTGACACTATTCTTTCTTCAGTAACTGTTACTGTTCGGGGATACTTCTCAAGCTGTTGAATTTGTGTATTCAACAACAATCTACAAATATGCAGCCATCTTTGTCATTTGTAACAGATATATCTGCTGCAATGCAAGCATAAGGAGCTCTAAAAAAGAGAACCAGTACATTCTCTAGCATTGGCTGTCATCTATGCCTTAAACATGTCATTTTCATCTTTTACTTTACTTGCATTATAAACATTTGCGTTGGTGGTTTGGAAATCAATAGAATAAAGAACTGTAGGAGAGATGATAAAAACCTTTCTTTGCGCAGATTGTCAACTTGATCTGAACTGAGATTAGTAACATTGTCAAGAAGATCATTTGAAATAGAAATTAGCTTATCCTTCATATCTTGTAAATGCTTTGGCACCTCTGGACAAAGTCCTAGCTGCAACAACCACATGAATATGCATAAGAAATTAAGAACATAGGCTATTCAGACCACATCAGATTCTGAAGCCAATATTACTTACCTGCAAACCATGACAGCAAATAGAGGATAGCTCCAAAGGCAAACTATTTTCTTCAGATCTTTCCATGCATTTGGAACTCATCCCCGGAGAAAATGATGGAACTTTTGAAACTGATGGTTGAGGCGTACAGTTTGATTGATAATGCTCCATAACTATTTGGTCGAGATCAATTTGCTACAGAACATGGAAACCATTCACTATGTTTATTGGTAACAAGAATTGTACAAGAGTAATCAAATAGTATGACATTAATTATATGGAGTTTTTCAAATCTATGTGTCCCCTGTGATTGAGAAAAAGTCCAGACAAAGAACAATATTGCTCACACCTGCTGTTTTTTATTTGGTATTGGTGCTGAATCAAATATCTTCTCTATAAAGTTGTGGTGCTTAAACTAATATTGCAAGTTTTTTCTGAAAGGCGAACACATTGTCTGACACTAAGTGAATTACCTGTAGTAAATCATCATCATCATCAGCTATATCTACAAAACTTTCATTAGATGTTGGCCCTTTCATTGTGTTTAAATCACCTACATAACTTGTGGATGATCCATTTGAAGGTTGTGCCCAAGAAGTATTTGTCATTGGTGAGTATATACTGTTCTTAGCTGTAGCATTTCCTGATTGTGCATAAGAATGAAAAGAAGTCCCCATAGACATTCTGGATTCTCCCATTCCACTGTTACTTGCACTAAAGCTCTGATATGATGGCATCTGTGTAAATGAAGTGTTATTCACACTAGATGACCATTGCTTATCAGCCTGACCATATTTTCCTGCAGCAGAAGCACTGGCATCTTTAGTTAGCGGTAGAGTTTTCCCAGGTTTTATGTAGCTCTTGGAAGACAACTGAATGCTGGAAAGTTTTTGCCAAGCCTGCATTTTAAATGTAATATGTGATGTCAAAAGCCAAGAGAAATGGAACATGAAACAAGCAAAGCTTAGTTCTTGTTTATAAAGCACATAGAAATATACAAGGTATTCAAGTATATCACAAACAAATACACAATAAATACAGTTCACTGAAACAGACAAAATTTCTTATAAATGAGACAAGTGGACTTTAAAGTAATTGGTGAGAAGTGGGTTTATATTCTTCTTTTAGTAGCAAAAGGTCCAAGAGAGGGCATGGGGGTCTTAAAACAAGGATTCATGTGTAAAGCTACATAAGCTATTTAATTTAGAAACCTGACAATTATAGGAAGTACAAGAACTTACCTTTTCAGTGAAAGGGTCAGACAAGCTCAAGTCCCGAATTTGACAAATTGTTGAACTAGAACAATGACAATCAACAGAATAACAATGAGTATACTGTCAACTTCAGACTGTTCAGTAAAAATTATGCTGTAAACTGCTATTCATCAACATAGAATCCAATTATTTGGATTCTTTAGAGTATTTTACCATGAAAACCAATTTCCTTTCAATTTGCAAAACAACGGGGAAATAAGAAACTTAAAAAAGATAGATGATACTGTCAGCAAAAAAAAAATGGGGTGCCTATACCACCTACCTTACAGGCATTGCTTCTTTGGCAGGAGGCTTTTGTTCTGATAGGGAAAAAAGGAAATTCGATCTTAATAGCTTATCATGATCTGAAGAACTGTCGAGGCGGCCGGCATGTTCAGACCAATTAAATTTAGGAAGTTTGTCAAAGGAGCCCAGATTATCAGCCCTGTCCCCGTGTCTGTTTAACAACAACCATCAGCAGCTGATGAATTACTATGAGAAAAAACAAAAACAAAAAAACAAAGTTGCATGTCCTAAGCTAACAGCAATGCCCTTACCGGCTCATGTGATTCTCCTTTGACAATAAATATCCTCACACACTTCCCCAGGTGTATTTCTAAATGAAAAGATGCAAGTACAACATATGGCACGAGCTAACAGTCATGGAAAACAAATCGAGGCACAGAGACGAGCATTGATTTGGCGGATTGCGCAATTTCATGGAAAACAGAGCCAGTTGCAAGTGCTGGGCGTGAAAGTAGTCCAGGTGATTTACATTATGCCAGAAGAGATGCCAATGTATGGGAACTTAATCAGGAATTGGGAAATATTTATGGGAGAAAAACTAACCAAAGTACAATAATGTTCGCCGGCGATCAGAAATATGCGGCGGGGTGGAGCGCGGACGGTCGCAGTTGTGGCGGATTAGAGAATGAAGATGGCGGTGGTTGGTGGAGGGAGAAATGATAGTCTCTAGGGGAAAACTTTGAACTCATGGCGCGGGGGTCACGGGCGGGAATATTATGGGACGATTGAGACTTGAGCTAGGGATTCGAATCGATATCGAGTTTGGAAATCACATGTGTACAGTGTACGGGGTGCTTTTAAGCCACATCATACTTCGTATATGGTTTGATAATTAGTCTTGTGATTCAACATTTAAAAAAAATGTCTTTTTAAAAAAAACGACTTTATAATTCAACTTTGTAAATAAATATTTGTAAACTTTAAGGGTTTTTCTTAAATATCTTTATAATTTATATACGTAGCATATAACAATGGAATCAGTTGGAAAACATGTTCTCTCTGATTCCATTGTGGCAAACGCTATATGCCAGTCTCATGTGGAATAAATGGACATGTGTCACAAATGAGAGATATTACGTTACAAGCATTCTAAAAGTAATATTTGCGTATAAGACCTGTACGTAAATGGTTAACACGTGACAAAAATCACACAATTGTGATGTGTATTATTGTCTTTTTTACAACCTATAATTGTCTAAAAGTATTATTATAAATTGTTATTAGTTAATACGTAGTATAATAGTAATATTTAACTACATATTTAATGTTCAGATTTGGTATTCACGTCAGCCCACCATCTAAAATATTAAGGGGTAAGAATTACAAGGTCTTACTATTTAGACTCTGCTAAAGATGTTCGGTGTGACACAATTTAATCTATACTTCGTATTCAATATTGAGATAAAACCTAATGTCACACATATACGCACATATATACAGGTGGTGCCGCAAGAATGTCCTTGTGCAGTTTCTACCACGTTCGGTAACCCACGTCCAAACGCATTTTCAATGCTTTAAATATGTGCTTCGGCGTATATTTTAATTGCGCTTGGCCGCAGCCTATTGCAGATATAAACAAACTCTTTTGGTTACTATTAGCAAGATGCTTTACAAAAGAGCGCAGGAGATTAACTAGTCCAGACAAACTGGACATTAAGAATGAGGCTTATTCAAGCATAATCCACTCCATCTTTCAGTAATAAGAGTGTCACGAATACTTTGAAATGCATGTTTCGTGACTCTAAGGTACAAGGAAGGACAATTGTATACCTTTAGGAACTTCATTGTGGTACTCAATGACTTGAAGTACAAGCCAACACCGGCTTATAAGATCCTGTTCAACCACAAGGCCACGATGGTCGACTTCAATGACGGAAACTTTCCTTCTTTTTTTGTTCAACTTTAGGTCATTTGTGCAATTTGCATACGCAAACCAGGTTACCAAGTGTGAAGAGTTAAAAATATTGATATGCAATGATGATGGTACATCGAGTTCATCCACATTAAAGGTTGTATATCCAAAAGTTTCTTAGAATGTTTTTTTTATCATAAGTTTTTTAGAATGTTGTTTAATGTTTATATTTTTATTTTGAGAATGTTTAATGTCTTCGAACTGTCTGTTTTGCAAATGTATTTAGTGAAACAACTTACAGAGTATATTTGTTTTATTTTATACATATCATACATGCATGTAAATGTTAGTTGAATAATGTTTTCTACAAAAATATTCCAATATGTGCCTTACTTTATTATGAACAAAAACGCGAATACGCTTTTGACCCGTGCATCGCACGGGTACAATACTAGTTACTAATAAAGATGATATGGACAAAAATGTTATTTAATAAGTATTAGTTACTCATTCTGTCCCGCTAATATTGTCTCATCTTTGCTTTTCGATACATCTCATTAAGATTGTCTCATACTACCCCGTCCCATTTTATGTGTCTCGTTTAAGATTGACACAATTATTAATAACGTGGTTAAAAACTAAAAGTTGTGATTGATATTTGAGTATAATAAAGTGAAATGTTGTGTATCACGTATTTCTTTCCATAAAAGAAATGTGACACTTATTTTGGCACAACCCAAAGAGGAAAGTAAGACATGTAAAATATAATTTGACGGCTTTTCGGTAAACCGTTAGTGGTATTGCTTAGATAGAAAGGAGAGTTAAATTGAGAGAGAGAGACTGCAATTAATGGGATTCGAACCGTTTACATTTGCCTCAAGGGAGTATTTATAGTAGTAATAAATGAATCGGAGCATTAAATGTATTACATGTGTTGACTATTCTATAGGATCGAACGGGGGAATGTATAACCAATGATAAGGATCAGACGGAGAACAAGCAGACTTAACAATAGTGTGATTGCCTTGTTCGTTGACCGCCTAATGTGAGAAAAAGAGATGCTAGGAAACAAATCGCAAAATATCTTATGGCATCAACTACCAATCCGAAAGAGGAGCAACTAGAACCCTTCAAAGTCTCCGAGATGGTCTGGGAAGAATCAGATTCTACATCAATATCCACCCACTCATTTCTTTGTAACCAGTTAAGTGCCTCCCTAAGTCCGATCAATTTGGCTTCAATGGATGAGAACTTTCTGGCCGCATAACAACATCAATATTCGGCTTAAACCTCCCCAAGGCTGGGCAGCTCCAATGAGATGCAGACTGTCATCGAATCTGCGCCCTTCTTATGTGTGACAAATGAGTTTGCGACCAGCAATACACAAAGCTTATGCTTTCTTCATGAACTGACTCGCAGACACAAAAGAATTTTGCCAGAGTTTGTGATTTCTTTCACACCAAATATCCCAACACCCCTAAATAAATTTCTCCATCTCTTTCTCCTTCTAGACTGAAATGCCAATTTCACTTTCTCCAAAAAATGGCTAGCAATGTGACCTATCTAGCTCCATGAAACCACAACCCAGGCTTCCTTAGCGACAACATACTTCTAAAGATGTGGAGCAAAGGCTCACTAACCTCACCACATAAGCCGCAATGTTCAGAACAATTCACTCAACGAGAAAGCAAGTTATCCTTCGTTGCTGGTCCAACCCAACCATTCTGGTGAAATAATAATGTCCCCAACAATTCTCTGATAGCAACTCTCCACAAAGAAAAAACATCTGCTTACCACCTTTAGTACTTCGCATCTGGAACAGACCAAGGACTAATAGGAATACTCCTAATTAAACTGATATCACGACTCACGAAAATGTTGTTGAGTATATGCTCATCCCACGCCTTGTCGGATTCATCTAACAAATTCTTCACCTTGGCCTGTTGTAGTCCCTCACTCAATCCAAGATTAACTTTGGATTATCCTGGTCCGGTATCCAAGGGTCCTCCCAAATATTAATTGATTTTCCATCTCCAACCCGCCACTTATATCCTTCATGAATTGAATCCTGAGTCTGGAGTAGACTCCTCCAGATAAATGAAGGGATATTATCAAGTCTGGCAAACAAAAAATTGCCTCCGGAAAAATAATGAGCTCTAAACACCCTACACATTATTAGTGTGGTTTACAGTTTACCTTGTGTGGGGAGCTTACCTGGGTCAAAAGCCTCTTTACATAACGTGGCCACATTTTGTCCCATCACGTCCTAGTAATGTCGAGAGAATCTCAGACTAAACCCATCCAGCTTAAGAGACTTGTCTGGAAACAAAGCCAACTTTTATTTTAATTTTGTATACAATTACATGTTTATAATTATCATTATATGGTTGATCGATTTTATGGCCTTGATTAGGTTGGAAGGGGCAACTCGTTCATGCTCCCATGTATCCATCAATGCTTTTACATAAAAAAAAATTATGCAACTCTTGTTTGATTTGTTATTATTATTGTTTATTATTATTATTATTATTATTATTATTATTATTATTATTATTATTATTGTATTGTTGATTAGTCATCTTTTAACTAGCCAGGATCAGAAAAATATTACAGAAATTGACCTGAATAAGAGAAAAAAACATTTTGAAATTTCAAAATATGACCCTCATGCTTTTATTCCCTAAACAAGAGTATTTTCTGTCAAGTTTGGGAAAAAACTGTCATGTTTAAAGTTTGATAATGTTAAACTTGGCAGAAATTACTCCTATTTGGAGAATAAATTCATGAGGATTATATTTTAAAATTTCAATTTTTTTACTCGTATTGAGGGATTTATCCCAACATATTACCATTATTATCAAGATGAATAAGAAATCATAATTATGATTTGAAAACGAAAATTGCATGACTCACAATTAACTCATAATCTAGATGAGATTAAATTATCTTCTATAAATATAAATAATCTCATTCATCGTAATTACACCTCCGCGAGCAACTGTTTTAAGAGGATTCATAATATAAACACTCCTAAGCTTGTGTTATTTTTACTCCATTTCATAACAAAGTCTTACTACTTACGGAGTACTATTTAGGGGTTTTCTCTTTTTATTATATTTACTAGTTTTTTTACGCGCGTTGCGCGATAGAATAAATGCCCAATATGATTTACTTTATAAAAACCAGTACAAGTATATAGTATTGATTTCCTATCGACCCGAAAAGCTCTTAAGCAGGCTTGGCCGGTTTACTTAAAATGCATTGTATCCTGCAAACACGGGACCCTCCTGTCCATAACATTTCAGGTCACTCCCAGTCGGAGCAAGGAGATGTGGCCCCTAAAAATTAAAATAGGCTGATAACACACAGAACATTCAAATCATGAAAAGGATATTCACTTTGGCAAGTGAGCTTGGAACAATAAATAAACAGTGTACATAAATATAATCCTACAAATATTTGACTCCAATTTTCCGCACAATAAAATAACAAATCTAGAACTTGATGGATAACAACGATTTCATATTCACAGAAACATAGAGCACTTTTTAAAATCCCCAAAAGTGAAGATAGTTAGATACATATGTCATAACTGAGATTTAGTTAAATCTTCATCATGTCTGATGTAGGTAACAAAATGAAATAAGTACTCTAAAGAAAAGCAGACCACAGAAAGTAATGACACGATGTATTTTAAGTTATAACCTGCTTCATTAGAGAAGTGAATGCATCCTTGGACAAACCAAACCCAATGCCTGTGTTTTGACCAATAGTATGAAAACAGGCAATACTAAAGCATGCTATAAGAAATTTATAAATTGAGGAAACCTTAAACTCGGTGATTGCCAGCCGTGGACCAACTTGCCACATGTACCGCCACATCAACCTAACTATGAGGT